CTTTGGTAATGGGGAAAGAGAAGAAGTGCTTTGGTTTAGAACTAGGCCAGTATTTGCAGAGACTCTCCCTAATTAAGTGAGCTTTGTTATTATTTTTACACATGCCAGCAGTTAATTGCCAGTATAATAATTTATACTATTGCATTAATCTTTTGGGTATGTATAGCTGTTAATTAACTGTGTTTTCTGTGTACCTAGATACTTCCAGGAAGTGCCTGAAAGAAGCTTCCTGTCATCGAAACCATTAAGAGAAAAAGTCTACGTACTGCTCTGGGACTTGCGGAGTTAATCCGCCAAAATGGCAGAAAATAAGGAAAGTAATAGTAAAAATGTAGATGTGAGACCGAAAACCAGCCGGAGCAGGAGTGCGGACAGAAAGGATGGCTATGTATGGAGCGGAAAGAAGCTCTCGTGGTCCAGAAAGAGTGAGCATTGTTCTGAAACAGAAACAGTAAGTAGTTTAGGCAAGCCAGCAGCTGGTTTGAGGAACCAAGAAAGGAAGCACAGCTGTTCATCTATTGAACTGGAGTTAGATCGTTCATGCGGCCACAGATTTTTAGGACGGTCTTTTAAACAGAAGTTGCAGGATGCTGTGGGGCAATGCTTTCCTCTAAAGAACTGTAGCAGTCGGCACTCTTCAATGCTTCCATCAAAAAGGAAAATTCATATCAGTGAACTGATGCTAGATAAGTGCCCTTTCCCACCGCGCTCAGAGCTAGCTTCTCGATGGCACTTAATTAAAAGGCATACTGCCCCCATAAGTCAGAAACCAGAAGACTGGATGGTTGCTGATTTATCCCAAAGTGAGGAGAGGGATAACCAGCTGAGAGATGGAGAGAGTTTCAATGGAGCAGTGAGCTCTTTCCAGTCATGTGATATTCTGGATGACGATTCCTGTAACTGTGATCCTAGGGCTGAGTTGGGCGTGAGTCAGGTGTTAAAGAACGAGAAAGACGAGAGTGATATGGACTCTGATGATGAAGTTATAACGCTTTGCACCAGTTCTAGGAAGAGAAACAAGCCCAAGTGGGAAACTGATGATGAGTTGTTGCAGTTGGAAAAGCCTCCTAAATATCATACTCAGATTGATTATGTCCACTGTCTTGTCCCAGACCTCCTGCAGATCAATAACAATCCGTGCTACTGGGGAGTAATGGATAAATATGCAGCTGAGGCCCTGCTGGAAGGAAAGCCGGAAGGAACTTTTTTACTCCGAGACTCTGCCCAAGAAGACTACCTGTTTTCTGTTAGTTTTAGGCGATACAGTCGTTCCCTTCATGCAAGGATAGAACAGTGGAATCATAACTTCAGCTTTGATGCTCATGACCCTTGCGTCTTCCATTCTCCAGACATAACTGGGCTCTTAGAGCATTACAAAGACCCAAGTTCTTGTATGTTCTTTGAACCACTTTTATCTACTCCCTTACACAGGACTTTTCCTTTTTCCCTTCAGCATATATGCAGGACAGTGATTTGCAACTGCACAACATATGATGGCATTGATGCGCTTCCTGTTCCTCCATCTGTGAAGCTGTATCTGAAGGAATATCACTATAAATCAAAAGTTAGAGTACTCAGGATTGATGTGCCAGAGCAGCAAAGCTAGAAATTATTTTTTGTGGGTGTATTGGGAAGCAGGCAAAGGATGTGTTCTATCTTTCCTCTCTTGAATTTATTTTATGGCAGGCTTTTTCTCCTAGAGATTATCTATGATCCAACTTGACTTCTGTCTGGGGTCTTTTACCAGAATGCACTTTTAGTCTTCCCACCCCTTCTTTGTAGAAAAGGTATTCGAGGCAGTGGGAGAGTGGGTGTGTGTGGTTTGGGGTTATTTTCCCTTTGGTGATGTTCGCACCTTAGGGGTTTTATGGAATTTCAGGTAGGTTTTCTGGTATTTCCATATAGAGATAGTCTTTAGATTTAAAAAATTTTTAAATTCAGATTTGAATTTGATCTGTCTTTTATATTGTAATTTGTATATGTTGCGGACATGTTTGAGACCTTGTATGTACTCTAAACCGAAGATTGACTAATGTGTATTTTTTACATTTCTTTTAAAATGAGTGCTATGCCATCTTTCTCTGTGTATGTATGAATGTGTGTGTGTAATACAGAGTAAATTCATCCATCTATTTTAAGATTACTTGTCCTAGCAGAATTAAGGCTCTGAAAGTATTTGATTGTTCTCTGTAAATACACCGAGGTTTGAGGGAAGGGAACACCAAGGAGAGAAAACTAGTCATCAGACTGTATTGGTACAAGAACAAATAGGTATAAACTGGCCATGAATAAGTTAGAGTGGAAAATAGTAGTGGGGGGTTGCAACCATCAGAGCACTTAGGTTCAGGATCAGCTTTCCAATTAAAGCAGTTGGGGCGGTGAGCTAACTAGTTTTAAGGTGAAGCTTCACTGGTTTATGAAATAGGTTACCGTCTTTTCTCACAGATAATATATCCCTAATATGACATCCTGTTTTTGAAAAGGCAGCATGAGGAAAAAAGATGCTACCTTGGGTAAGTAACTGCACAGCAGCAGCTAGGGAGAGAAGCCTACACTTGAGTCTGACACCAGGCCTGTGCATGGGATGGGGCCTACAGACCGCTGGCCTGACGTGGTGCATGGGGCCTAAGGGTCACCGTCCTAGCTGTGGCATGCTAGGCTGTCATCCAGCCTGGGGACTCCCTGTGGGCAGTGGGGATCACTGGCAGTGTTAGTTAATGCCACTGATTTCCCCACTCCCTCTCACCAAAGGCATTCACCAAATTCTCGGACCCGTGGCAATCCGTATTTGCTTGCATAAAATGCATGCCTCAGTTTCCAAGAGCTGCTTTGTTTGGGGAAAGGTGCATCTTATGTGGGGTATTATGTGGCTGTCTCCAACAGCAGGGGCCCAGACTCTCGCACCCAAGAGGTCTCTTCAAGCCCTGTCTTCCTGTTTTCTGTGTGTAAAGTATTACTCCATCTTTATTTGTTCATGGACAATAATTGCTATAAAGCTTTTGTTTTTTACTCCTATTTTTCTAAAACTTTGACCATTTAGGCTCATTAACTTGCTTTACCTTGCAGTTAATACTGAAGAAAAAATGGGTAGCGGCATAAGGGTTTTTTTTTCTTGACATGTGCTTTGGAGGGAACATCTGCAGATTAGCCCAATGCTACATCTTACAAGAGGAGAAAGACTTTGTGCATGATTCCATGCACAAGGAGAAGCTATGGCTGGGTAATACAAAATCTTTTACATGACATTTGTGCGGCCAACTACAAACCTCATTATTTTGCCTATTTAGTGCAAATGCCATTTTGCTCTTGCCTGAATCGATGGCGAAATCCCAGCAAACCTTAGTGGTTGTAGGATTGTGCAGCGAGGTGTAATTCCATTAAGCATCCTGAGTGCCCTCCCATTCTGTTGTCTTAATTGCAGGTGCTTATTTCCTGTCTCAAGGTGGGTCCAGAATAATCAGTACATCAGATGTATAAGTGATGATGTAACAGCAGTGACCATGCAGTCTGGCTTTTCTCCATGTGGTTAGTTTGTGTCTTTCTGTGAATAAGGCTTTAGAAATGAAGGCCTGAATCATGGCATCGCATATGGACATCTTTCATTTTATGCATGCAAACAGTCTGTTCAATGACAATGCAAACACCTGTCTGCACCAAGTTGTACATATGCACGTAAGCTTGTAGGGTGGGAGCCTTTTTGACTTGTGCCTGAGGTTATTGGGTGCTACAATGCAGGTAATCATTAGTATATTTTCTTTGGCGATTTAAATTTTCAGAAAATCATGAATTTGCAGGCAGCATGTCCTGCCCAAGTTGGAGACTATTAGTTTACATAGCAACTCTGCAACACTTCCACCCCATATGCTGCAGTCTGCCCAAAAAGCCTTCTTTCGCAAGCCTAAACCTTCAGAGCAGAAACATTGCATTGGACTGAACTGGCAACATTGTGATGCTCACAGATTTCCACAAGGGATTAGAAAGAGCCCAATATGTTTGTTTTCTCTTGAATATAAGTGGGTTTTCCATCACAGTCTCCATAGGCAAAATGGTAGTATATCAAACCATAGCACTGTATGAAGATACGAAAGTGAATACAGCTTGGTGCGTACAATGAAGATGTGTAAGCAACTGCTGTACGGGACAGACCCTCAGCTGGTGGAAATTACCGTAGGTGCAGCTATAGCATTTTACCCCAGCTGAAGACATGCCCTGATAGGTACAGAGGAGGATTGCAAAACCATTATTAGTGGCACTATCCATATTTTGCACTACAGATTTCCTTGCCCTGTTTCCACCCAACCATTTCAGGCTTTGCATAAATTTGCCATTCTTTGTCGAAAGTCTGTCATCTTCTGTAAGTTACTTCATTTGTGGAAATATATTTTTTTCCTGTGTACCACTGCCATAGTTATCTTTGGATGAAGGCACACGACGATTGAAGCATTCCCAAACATCACTGACTGGGAACCAGTTCACAGTTGTCACAGGTCAGAGGTGTCTGTACATATAGTGCCTTAGCATTTTGGGTAGAATCTTCTAGGTATTGAAGTGGTGTGGCTCCAACTCTAGGGTGTCAAAGTGAGCATCTAGCCCAGCATGCTCTGTAGGGGCTGAGTTAGAGGAGAGGGGAACAAGGAGGGAGAAGAGAAATTGTACCCATGCTTTGTGGCAGGTGGCCTGTAGCTGGGGGTGTTTTCATTTGTTTGCTTTCTCATCTCCCTTAAACATGAGTTCAGTAAACTTCAGTAGCCTTCCCTTGGCTGAACTCTGCAGTGTACTTGCCTGACTTGGGATGCCCTGTGTGGGGATGCTTGGAACCATGTTTTTTAGGTTTCCAGGGACTGGGGTAGCATGATGAAGAGCCACAGTGGAGTAGAGGGTGAGGACACAGCTTGTTGGAAAGAGAACGGATTGACCCAGCAGTGCAAGAGTGAGCATGGCTTAAAAAGAAAAGGGCCAACAAAAGTGGCGGGGGGAAGGAGAGGAGGGGGACGCAGTAGAGTTTTGGCTGCATATCGGAGAAGCCAGTTGCGGTAGTGGAAGGGTGGGAGAAGCAAGGCATTGTGGGATGCCTGGAGGACAGGACTGACCAGACCCATGGCATGGAGCATTTGGTTTGCACACACAACACTGACCTGGTTCACAGTGAACTGTTTCAAAAGTGTACCACATTTACTTGTATGCTACATGCATCTTTTTCCCAAAAATTAGCCATCCAAAACTGGGGTGCATATGTTGAGTAAGGAAGCTGATTTCCATACTGTAGTGGGGGCTTAGCAATGCTGCAAAGGCTGCTGGGGGCTGTGCTGCCTTCTCAGGGCTGTGCAGGAGGGGTTGAGTCCAATTCACAGTGGCACTTGCCTTCTCCCAGCTCCAAAGTTCCAGATTTAACCCCTGTGGCCAAAAGCTGCTGCCAATGCAGCTGCAGGAGCTGGAAGGAGGGGCTAAGTGATGTATTTGCCCAGGAGCTTTTAGTTGTGGGGGCCCTGTAGTGTGGTAGGCAAGACTGGATATTATTTGTCTTCCTTCTGCCTTTCCAAAACAAGGTGTGTGTCCTATTTGAGGGAGTGTGGTATGCAGGTCAATACAGTATGTAACTCCAGGTACATTTTTTCAACTGTTCCAGGCAGCTGTAAACTGGTTTAACAGGCTTATACATCTATCCATTTCAGGTTTAAACTACATTTAAACTCTTCTAGATGTCCATGCCCTTCTAAGTTTGGCTGCAACCATCTTTTTGTTCTGTATTTAAACAGTGCTTCTCATAGTGAAGTCCAGATTCATGATTGGGGTTCTTCGGTGGCGTTGCAGGACAAGTAATGATAATTTAATATCTTGTTAAAATCTAAATGCATCCAAGATTTACAGAGGCACTTGCATTCTGTTTCATCAAATTAATCTCCTTAAATTTTAAAGTAGGCCAGACAACTTCAAAACTACAGGATTGTTTAGTAAAGTAGAACTGATCATCACGCTGTTACCACAACACTGTACACAATCTAGATTGCAGCAGCTCTGAAGGACTCTCTCTCTTTACACTTAGCCCATTACAAAGATAACTGAGTGCTGTCATGAACGTTTGCATTGGGAAGAGTGACTTCATTTCAACAGCAAGAAACATTGTGAGCCCTTCGCCATGACATGGCACAGGATCAATGTCTCATGACTACTGCTTGCCATGGTGTCAGCTTCATCATGTATTTTTTATACAGCCTGTGTTGTTTGGGCATGTAGTGCCACAAAATTGACAAGATAGAATCTCTTTGTTCTGCTGTTCTCTCTGATTTGGGGAGATTAAATAGTGCTGTAGCTTGGTGTTTGGGGGGAGTTTTCCTTTGCAGGGCAATTAATTGTTTTTTTAAGCATTGTACAAAAAAGCACCAAACAAGACTTTGTGGAAATTCCTGTGGGTTTTTTTTTTTTTGCTTTGACTTATTTTTCTAACTAATATTTTTGTGATTTCCCCCCCCCCATTTCAGGAATCTCGTGTGTGTGTGAGAGGGAGAATAGATTCAAAATATTTTTCCAAAAATTTAAACATTTTGGGCTCAAAACTTTTTCCATTTGTCAGTGGCTGATGAGAAGCTCCCTCAGAAGTTATCGGGGTTCGAGTAGGACAAGACTTGGAGCTCTGCAACTCGAGTTCCCTTCCCTGCTCTTCCAGTAACAGGTTTAGTAATACCTTGCACTTTAATAGTACTTGTAAAATACCTGGGAGTGTGTAAATGAATGCTCCTATTTGAGAGAGTGCTGAGGCTCAGAGGAGTTTAATAAGCTCAAGTAAAACCACGGTGCTTCCCAGGCATGCCTTGTAAATTTTCTGTGGTTTTGACTTTCCCATGCTCTTGTTACACCTACCTGCTCAGCCCGTTATCTGAGGCCACAAGACCTGGTGCTGGTCAGCTGAACTCCCTTCCTCTGGATTTGTATAACTGGTCACACACTGCAGCTGCTGTTGGCAAACTCTACATGCCTGGTATGACACCCTTCTGGATGCTGCTACAACATTAACACCACCACAACTATTCCCTATCCAGGATACCTCCCTGAAAGCTGAATCAACTCCTTGGTGCCTCGACAGTCAGATGACTGGCCCATGTCTTCATTTCGAGGTTACAGGGGTGCTGGTTGTAGCCATGTTGGTCTAAGTACATAGACAAGGTTTTTTGGGTAAATCTGTTATCTTTTATCAGTTTTGAGGTTACGCATTCTCTCCTATGCATGCTTCTCCAAGATGACAAATTCATGCCAATGAGTCATTTTTAATGCAGAAGGGTTTACAGGTCCTGGTCAAGATTGGTTCCTTGATGCCATACATACACGCAGTAAGAGATTTGCCTGCGTTCTCTGCTTAGGCTGTAAACAATTAGGTACAGAGACTGGAGGAAGAGAAAGATGTACAGGGGTTGATGGCAGATCAGGGACTGAGCTGGATATAATCCATGTCTCGCCCAGTGCCAGTCTAATGCCTGTCTACTGTGCCGTTCTGCTAACTTTAAATTAAAATGGATTACTGTGAGGGCGCAGGGGGTGGGGATACTACCTCAAAGTGGCTTTTTTTACCATTAGAGTTGAAACGCATCCGGCTGATTGGCATACGTTTGCATTGCTTTTAACTTTGTGTGGTCATAGGTCTTTCCTCTGAGAAGGTAAAGGTTCTTCTTCCGCTGCTGTCATTAATCATTTATTTAGTAAGGAAAGAAAAGTCAAGCCCTTAGGTGGTCTGGTCAGAGGTGTGGTTTCCTTACGGAGAAGCTGGTTTGGGTTTTAAGTAGTCTTTCCATTTGTGTGTTATCCCCAAATACACTCTTAGCAGGTGAATGATTGGCATTGCTGCCATCTGAGGTGCAGTGCAGAGATCACTCCCGTGGTGTCCTGGAGGGCAGAGGATGTTCTCATAATGGGAACAGATATTTCTTGTTGAGTTTCCTATTATTGTCAGTAGCTTGAAAGCTATGATATCCAGAGTGCAGCAAT